GTGTACTTGACCTCTTCGCCATTTCCCACCTTCCCTCAGATTCGGAGGCGCCGCCCCACCCCTGCCACCCTCGTGCTGACCAGTGACCAGTCATCCCCAGGTAAGCCAAAGGATATGTTACTGAAGGGGGTGGGGGCCACTATGGCAACAGGTCCCAGTGAGAAGATGGGTGCTAGATGGAAGAAGAACAGCTCTGAGAAGGTGGGGATGTCCTCAGTCCTGAAGGCAGGAAGGTGATGGCTGGATTGCAGAATATCCTTTGCTTTTGGAAAGAGGAGCAGTGCTAGGAAGGGGAGGGAGACCACCTGGCTCCTAAGCCCCCCAGGAATTGGGGTGGTCAACTGAGTGCTGGTTGCTGCGGCAACAGCCTTCCAGGTTTCTCCAGCAACTGAGATGCTGCTACCCCCACCCCCAGAGGCAGTGTCAGCTGTGAGGGGGAGGGACCGCCTCCACCAGCTTTTCACAGCCCCCAGAGAGGGAGGGGAAGGTTAGAAGCAGCTCAGGGAGCAGCTGAGATTCTGGTCACCTGCATTCCCCTCAAGGTATGGGGAGAAAACAAGGTCTCACAGAATGGTAGGGAGCTTGACAGGGGTGTGGAAGAGAGCGGGTCAGGCTAAGAAGCTAGGCTGGAGTTCAGGATGCCAGGGTCTCCAGCTTGCCTCCACCTATACCTTCCAGACCCTGCACAGAATACATTTACTGTTCTCTATCACTGTTCCCTCCTAGGCAGGGCTTAGTTCTGGCTGACCCTGGGGTGGAATGATTGGAAAGAGAAAGAGACATGATACTTCAGAGGAAGAAAACAAGCAAAAAGACCACAGATCCTGCCTTTGGGGATCTCCAGGTCTGAGGCAGAGATGCAGACGCAGATGGACCACAGAGCCAAGGACAGGACTAGATGCAGGGGGATGGAGGCAGCGGAAGCACAGGAGAGGAGCTGAGGGGAGGAGGTGTGGGGCAGCCATGAGGGCCAAGAGCCTGGGGGCAGATGTGAGGGACGGATCAGGAGGAGCGCGGCTGCAGAATCCCCTCCCCTGAAAAGTCAGCTCTATGGGGATCCCTGGTTTCCTGTCCTTATCACCCTCTCCTTTTCCTGTTCCCTTCAGAGATAGATGAAGACCGGATCCCCAACCCACATCTCAAGGTGAGCGGGCCCATCCCAGTGAGCCCAGCCCAAACAACCCCCACACTCATTAGGGGATTATTCCTTAAAACCCTGCTGCCCATCTCTAGGATCTTTTTGACTCCCGCTTCCCTGTACCCCTACCCCCCAAATGTGCATGAATGAACATATACACATGCACCACACACACACTCACACACACTCACAGTCTCCTTGCTCACCATTGTCGAGGTGGTTGGGGAAGCAGGAGTTTTCTTCCCCCACTTTTTGAAGCTCACACCTACCCCAAGCTCCAATCCAAAAGCCTGGCAAAGCAGAGGAGGAAGGCAAGGGGGGCTAGAAGGCATGGGGGACTAGAGGGCAAGGGGGGCTGGAGGGCAAAGGGGGCTGGCACCTATCCTCTGTGCCCTTCACAGTCCACTTTGGCAATGTCTCCACGGCAACGGAAGAAGATGACAAGGATCACACCCACAATGAAAGGTTCGCAAGACCCCTCCCATCCCTTTTTCTCCTCTATGCCTGAAGCTGGAGAGTAGACCGAATGCCCTTTGGAAGGGAGGTCGTTAAATCTGCCTTTATTATGGTAGAACTGTTGCTAGATGAACTGAGGCTGAAATCCCAGTTTTGCCACTGACTAGCTGGGTGATCTGGGAAAAACTGCTTAACTTACTGAGCCTTGAATACTACCTCATTATGGCAGATAAAATAATATATGTGAACTCATCGGCACAGTGCACAACATGTACAAGGTACTCAAATTTTTCTTGAATCTAAATTGAGCCTTTCCACCTTCCCCCAGGGAAGACCATGTATCCCAGCAAGTGAGGAGTATCCCTTGTTCTTAAAGGCTCTTCTCCTACACCTCCCTTGTCTGTACTTTTTATGGTCTAGTTTTCATCCCTCCTTACTGCCAGCTAATGTCCCTTCCTTGTTCAGATCTCAGTGGATGGGAAAGTCAAACACCTAGCAATGTGTGCTGAGCCTTTAGTGGGGCTGTTGAATCTGGGGGCCCACAGGGGAGATGCTAGGCAGTCATATCCAGTGTTCCCTCCCTTTCTGTGTGTCCCCAGAGCTCCAGATGATGGTTGAGCATCACCTGGGGCAACAGCAGCAAGGAGAGGAGCCTGAGGGGGCCGCTGAGAGCACAGGAACCCAGGAGTCCCGCCCACCTGGGATCCCAGACACAGAAGTGGAGTCAAGGCTGGGCACCTCTGGGACAGCAAAAAGTATGTTCAGGCTGCCTAGTAGTAGGCAAAAACCGTCTCAAGGATATGGATCTATTTGCATGTTCGGCATACATTTGAATCTTTACTTTTCCTTACTGAGTGACACCAAGCCCTCCCAACTTGAACCTCAGAGCCCCACTGTGGCTACATGGGGGGACCCACCTTCAGGGGAACAGCAGTCACAGGCCTGAATCCTGGCTCTGCCACTTGCTACTTTACCAGCCGAGAGGCCTTGAACGACTTAACCTCAGAGTATAAAATGATAATGAGGGTGCCTGTTGCAGTGGGTTGCGTGTGACTATTAAATGAGACTGGCTCTTGGCACAGCACCTGACACATACAGAGCATGCAATAAGTGGAAGCTGGTAGCAGGGCGCTATGTCCCTTATCCTAGACATATTCCAGAATTCAGAACGCCTCCAATTTTGTGAAGATACAGTACATAAGCTGTGTATCACATAGTATTCCCAGCAGAGAACCCTACAATCAAACACGTAATATTTCTGCAACCCAGTGAATGGTCTCACTAAGCAGAATAAAGAATAAAAATAGCCTCCTATGAGTTCATGTCGGGTTTAGACACATATTGAGTTTTGTTTTTTCAACTGTTTTTTCAACTGTTTCAAGGGTTTATTCTTTCCAATTCGATTGAAGATTTTGAAAAAGTGAACCTATAGTAGTAATTGTGAAAAAGGAAAACCCTGTTGGTCTTGCCTGATTGCACCCAACTTGATCCTGGGCCTCTCTCAGGGGCCACTGGGGTACAGATGCAGTGAGGAGAAGCAGTTCTCTCCCTAACACCTTTATGAATGCCACCCCTTCCACCCCTATTTTCCCTCCCCAGAGCCTGCAGAATCCATCCCTAAAACTCAGCAGAGAGGCAGTAAGGAACCCAGCACAAAGGAACCCTCAACCCATATACCACCATTGGATTCCAAGGGAGCCAACTCGGTAAGACCCCAGGGCTGGGCTGCCAGGCCGTAGGAGAGGAGGCTAATACTGTGGACAAAGGCAAGGGGCTAATATTTGGAGTCTAGGAAAAGGAAAACAAAGAACCAGCTTCAGTCCCTGAAAAGTTATTCTTTATGGTAAAAGGACTTGCATCTCCTCTGACAGACAAAGAAATGGATAGCTGCAGCAAGAAGGTTTGAGGTTAGACTTTGTGTAGGACTTCTGGCTCCTGGAATGGGTGAGAGCAGTAGGTCGTGGATTTTTTGATAAAGGGGATTTGGAACCCGAAGGGCGATCCTCCCCTGCCCAGCTGAGGTGGGCAGTGGCTCTCCCTGCCTGGAGGATGCATTGATTAGGTAACTTCCTGAGCTTTGATTTTACAATCCCCAGCCCCCTGCATAGACTGGACACGGGAAAGACTGCTCTCAGACATCAGAACAAGCTTTCTGACACATTAGATGTTGACAAAGGGGATGGCCAGAAGGGGAAGGGACAAAATGACCCTCTGGCCTCTCAGCTTCTCTTTCTGTCCCCCTTCCCCCATAACAGGTCTGAGAGAGGAGGAGATACCTTGGGATCAAGACTGCAGTTGGGGAATGCATGGACACCGGATTTGTTTCTTACTCCTTCACTTTTGGGGAAAATCTCTTGTTTTTAAAAAGTGATAAATTTGGTGTTAGGTCCTTGGCACTTTCCTTCTTTCCCAACTTGGAGAATCCTTTCTCCCTGCCTTCTTGCCCTGCCCTCTCTGCAGCCCCCACCCGCCTGCCAAGCTGCCTCTGGGAAGGAAGAACAGAGGAGCTGGGCAGAAGCCTCGAGCAGGGAAGAGTTCTTCCCCTAGCCCTGACTTTACTTTCTGTGGGAAGAGAGATGAGGGTCAGATAGGTGGGAGGACTAACTTCCAGGCTGCCAAGAAGGAAGAAAAGCCCCCGGTTCTCTTTTCTTATTGAGGAACGATCTGACCACCTCACAGGCCTGCCCTGCAGCTGGAACACTCGGCGCTCTAAGGCCTGTGCCGTGTCCAGCTGTGACTGTGCGGTGGGCTCCATCTGCTGGACAAAAGGGGAACTGCACCATGGCACTTGGCCCATGGGATAGAGGGTGTGGTGGGTGTACGGATACCTCCTCGCCCGCCCTCCAAGCCTCAGCTGCCTTCCTTTTGGATTCCCAAGCTTCAGGATGTGTTCCCTCTTCCAGGTGTGGGACCGCTGTCCGTTATTCAACCCGTTAGCAACAGTGGATAGAGAACACAGTGGCTATTAATGAAGAGGCCCGTGCTGGAGACTGGAAGGGTTCCCTTGTCCTAGACACTGAGGACAGATAAGACAAAAACCAAGCATACGAGAAGAAACTGTCTCAGATCTCACGGCCAGGCCTCTCTCCTGCTGCTGTTTTTGATTTTCCTAGGTAGTGGGAGAGAGGAAAGGAGGGAAGGCAAGATTCTTTCCCCCTCCCTGCTGAAGCATGTGGTACAGAGGAAAGAGCAGAGCCTGAGAAGCGTCAGGTCCCACTTCTGCCATGCAGCTACTGTGAGCCCTCGGGGCCTCCTCCTGGGCCTCAGCTTGCCCAGATACATACCTAAATGTGTGTATATATATATATAAAAGGGAGAACACCTCACCCAGATTTTGTCCCGCTGGAAAGAGTGTATGTATGTGAAGATGCTTGGTCAACTTGCACCCAGTGAACACACACAGTCAGGCCTGGTCTCCCTTCTTTATTGTTCTCTGGCTATAGCAGGGGTCTGGGAGACCAAGGGCAGGGGTGAGTCACATGCATCTCTGCCCTACTCGGGGTGGGGTAGGGTGGAAGTATCAGGGTAGCAGGTCTAGGAGACCATGGATATGGATTTTGCATGAACAGGGCCCACTGTACAAATGCATGGTTGGTATTTACAGGAAAGAAGGAGGGCAGTCACCTGGACTTTGGCCTTTCCCGGGGCAAGGTGGGGGCAAGGAGGAGCCTGAGGAGAGGAAGGGGCACCGCGCCTGGCTGGGTTCTCTCCAGAGGACAGGAAGGCAGCAGCCCTGAGCCCCTCCTCCATCTGCCTTTCACCCACCACCCCTCACTTGTCTCAGGGGAGGAGCTTCTTAGTGCCTGCAGCTGGGCCAGTTCTGGGAAGTGGAAAGGAGGGGACAGACCCTCTCTTTTAGCAACGCAGGATTACTGGATTATACCTCACCCTCCCCAGGCACCCTTGACCCTAACCCAGCTGGTGTCGATACATCCTGAAGGTGCTTTGCTGGGGAGATCTCAAAGCACATTACAGACATTAGTCGGATGGGAGCCTCCCAGCCCCAGGCGAGAGGAAGGAGGCAAAGGGCTCAGGACTCAGCCAGGGCAGGTGACAAGCCCCAGGGTCCCAGACCAGTCCCAAGGAAGGTCCCAGGGCAGGCCTCCCGCAGCCCCTGGTCACAATGGCTCCTTTTTTCCCAGTCACTGTATCAGAAAAGGAGAGAAGGAAGATTGCAGAGGATCAGGCTGGAGATGGGGCTGAAGCAGTGCAATTCTGGGGTGAAGAGGATGTCCTACCCACCCCATTCCCAGGTCCTAGAAAGGTACCATGCCCTGAAGGAACCCACTCCCCTTCCCACACATAGGGCTCTGAAAACCCCCAGATTTCTATCCTATTCCAGCCCTTCCCAGGGGAGGAAAAGGGGGACCCAGACCTGCCAGCTAAGATCTGGGGTGGGGGGCTGAGGGAACCCCCAAAATGTATTGCTTAGAAACTTGGAGGCAAAAAGGATGGGGGAGGTCCCAGGGGGCTGGCTTCTCTGACCCTCCCCCAAGGCCCTGGGAAGCCTCCAGAAAGCTCCCCGCTCCCTGGCAGCCACCTGGCCATTAAGAGAATCCAGAGGCTAAGGGATGGGCACAGTGACCATTGGGAGCCTGAAGTTCCCCATTCTTGCTGCCGGGACATTAAAGTGCGCCCCAATGGGTGTCAGGTGGGGAGGGGCCCTTTCCCCAACCCCAAATCTCTGGCATTTGGCCTTCGGGTGGGTTGTTTCTTCCACAACCACGCTCCCTTGGAGCAGATGGGGGAGCCAGTCCTGATGGATGGTGCTGATGACATCAAACACTTTGGACTCAATGAAGACCTGGGGAAAGAGGAAGGAACTTCAGTGCCCTGAGCTTGGCCTTCACCTCCAACCTGACCTTCCTTCTCCAAGTCCTGATCCTCACTCAGTCTCGAGTAGAGTTGTGCAAAAAATGCCCTTCAGAAGGGTGCCTAGCCAAGGGGGTGAATAGGGGCTGAAGTCGCAGTCATGTTTAGCTGCCCTCACTGAGCCGTGTGCCCTGGCTGGGCTCCTTTTTCCCTAACTCTCCCTAAGGTGCGGTGCAGGTTAGCTGTCACCTGGCATGGGCCCACACTGTTCTGCTGCTTTCTGAGAAACTACCTCCTTTCTTCCCGCAGGGACTGGGGACAGAAGAGGGTGGGAGGATTTCCCTGCTCCACCCACACTTTGGCTCCATTCTATGTCTTCACTCCCTCCATTTTACTGCTCAAAGGAGGGAGAGAGAATGTCACATCTGTTGGAGCCCAGAGACGACCCAACAAAGATGCCACGATAGACACCAGCTCTGCTATGCCCTCCACCACAACAGGTTCACCTGGGCCAGCCCCAGGGCTAGTCCAGATTCCCATTTTGATTGTGTTCATCTTCAGCAGGGGATGGGGGTGCCTCTTCGTCACAGGGGGACAACTCGTCAATGGACATCTGGTTGGTGATGCCTGTAGAGGAGCATAAAGGAGGCTGAGCTTAGGCCAAGAAGCATTCTTCCCCAGAACCCAAGGAGTATGTGGAGAAACAAGGGATTCTCATCCATCAACCTGCCTTTAAGCTGAACTACATTCAACCCATCCCCACTTGGGACGAGCCTCTGTAGCCATGCTAAAACTCAGAACCCTCAACACCACCCTACCACCCCCTCACACAGGAAGAGATTTCCCAGCCAGGGCCACCAAATTAGCCAAATCTGCAGGGGCCCCATTTACAGGGACCACGGTGTGCACACGGACCCTTGGGTTGTGGAATATCTGGCTGTCTCTATCACCTCTAGAGCCCCCATTCTTAGAACATCCCAGGTCACTGGGCCAGTCTTTCCTGTGATCTGACTGGTCTGATCAGCTCCATTCCCAACTCAAGGAGTCCGGCGAAGGGTTTCCCCAGGAGCTTAAGAAAAATGGACATCCTGGTGCTCCATGATCCACCCACACAAGTTCTCACCCCCACCCTCTGCCACGGTGCCCACCACTTGCTGCCCGTTCCTTCCATTTCTGCTTGTTCTCCTGAATGTGCTTGATCCAGGTGGAACGAAAGCTGACCACATCAGGGTTGGGGTCTCCCACTTCCACATCCAGAGAGGGCTGGCGCCACTGAAAGCTAGAAGCAGAACACCCCAACAGCCCCAAGAGGTAAGACCCAGCCCACTCCAGAACCACCTTAGCCCACTCATGGAAGACCAAGAGAAGGTTCAGGGAACTTTGTCTTCCTCTTTTCCTCTACTAGATATTCCCCAAGTCCCTGTCCCTCTCCCCCTCATTTCACCCCTCCCTCTCCACATCTTCCCTCCTGGTAGAAGGAAAATTAAAACAAGATTCTCCAGAAGGCAGTAAAGACAGCTAATGGAAGAAACAAAAATATGGTCAAGGGGAGCACAGGCACAGGTCACACCCTTCTGATCCCATCCTTCTGCCCCTGACGGCAGAGGGACTCCCAAGCTCGAAGCAGCCTGCCTCCCCACCATCCCACCACAACTGTGAGTCGGTCCTCTCCGTGAGTCCAACTCCCTCCCTACCACCGCCTTCCGGAACCAGGACAGCTGGCTACCCCAGCCGCCCTCACCTGGGCTGGTTTTTAGACTTGGAGTCCTCATCCGCCAGGGGCTGAACACTCTTCTCTGCCACATCAGTCAGCACAGAGAATGTGGGCTCCACAATGAAGTCGATGAACCCTGCAGTGGAGGAGCAATGCCATAGGGATGTCTCACTTTTATCTGGAGGGCTAGGCAGAGGATGCAGCTGGCATTGCCAGGACCCCTGGCTCCTTATGAAAGAGGCCGGAGAGGCAACCTGGGGCGGAAAACTTCCCAATGCGGGGCAGGCTTTGGGATGATGTCTTGGTGCCCCAGAGAGCTCCTCCCTGCCATTGCAGCCCCTGGCCTCCTATCCCAGGAGCCCATGCTCTAGCACAGTAGGCTTTCCTCTACAGGAAGAATGGTTTGGGGGATTGAGGACTTGGAGCAATCCTGACCCAGGCAGTATCTTTTCCCCTTCCCAGTCCTCCCCTTCCTGCAGGAGAGGACACTCACCTATCTGAGACTGTGCCACCAGCGTGGAAGTGCGGTCACAGAGAGGAGAAAAGGGCAGGCCCAACTCTGCCTCCTTGTCACCCTAGAGGAGACAGCAGGGTAGGAAAGCTGGAGAGGATACCTCAGACCTACCAGATCTGGGGTACAGGTGGCAGGTGGCAGGGGTGGGGGGTTGTGTGAAATTTTTGCAATGTTGACCTGGAAATGAAATATATGCAAATGAAATATATGCAAATGAAATGCAACTATTGTTAGGCTTTTAGGATAATGGGATTTTACCCCAAGGATTTGGTATCAGGTCAGAGACTACAGGTAGCAAAAGGAGGATATGGAGTATAAGTGGGGAACTTAGAGGGCAAAAGGGGAGAGAAGGCCCCCATAGGCACAGGGGAAGCAAAGATGCTACACTACCTGGCGGAAGAATTCCTCCATGAGGGCCTTGGTCCAGCGGCTGTGGACCGACCACTGCTTGGTTGGGTGGCTGATGTCAGCAGCATGGAGCAGTAGCGATAGGGCCTTGGGCTTGTCAATCCTGGTTGGGGCGGGTGGCAAGGGAAGGGAGACTGATCTTTAAGGAAAAGGAAACCTGGACCATTCCCTAATTTCCCATGCACACCCTATCACACAGCTTCTTTTTTGTTGGGTTTTTTTTTTGAGACAGGGTCTCACTCTGTTGCTCAAGCTAGAGTGCAGTGACACAATTTCAGCTCACTGCAACCTCCGTCACCTGGGTTCAAGTGATTCTCCTACCTCAGCCTCCTGAGTAGCTGGGACTACAGGCGCACATGCCATCACACCCAGCTAATTTTTGTATTTTTTTGGTAGAGACAAGGTTTCGCCATGTTGGCCAGGCTGGTCTCAAATTCCTGACCTCAAGCGATCCACCTGCCTCGGCCTCCCAAAGTGCTGAAATTACAGGCATGAGCCACCACGCCTGGCCTCACATAATTTCAAACACCCTCCAAAGCTACACACACACACACACCCCCCACACACAGACACACACACACTTATGTATGTTTAGGTAGCAGCACAGGTTAGTAGCTAAGAGCCCAGGCTCTTAGAATCAAAGGGCCTGGGTTCACATCTATACCTACCACATGTTAGCTGTGTGACACTGTGCAAGTTACTTAAAATTTCCATATTTCATTTTCTTCAACTCTAAAATGGAAATAACAACCCTACGACATATCAAGTAGTTCTGAGAATTAAGTGACAAACAACAAATAAGTATTCAGGAGAGTGTCTAGCACATAATAAGTGCTCAGTAGATATTATTTAGAATAGTAATAATAATTATTATACCCTCAACAATAACCCGCTATGACACCGCATACCCTCCCACACATAAACACCATACACAAAGATTAACACACACCTTCAGGACACACACAGAGTCCACTCACACACACATTTATACATTCCCACCCACTTTTAAGCAGCATTAGATGCAATTATGGCATTTGTTCTGTGCATTTGTTTAAACCTCATATGACTCTCCCAATAGCCCTAGGAGACTAGGAAATAGGGGCAAGCTGTTGTTGGGGGAGGCATGTCATTTCCACCATTTCAGAGGTAATAAAACTGGGGTCCAGAAGGGTCGAATGAATTTTCCAACATTCCAGAGTAAGCCTGTCCTGGAGCTGCAATAAGAACCCCCATCTTAGATTCCCAGCCCAAAGCACTCTCCAGTGGATCAGCTGCCTAGGGTGTATGTAAATGTAAGGCCACACACACACACACCCCCCCACACACACCACATTTACACAGAGATGCAGTCGGATACCTGGAGCCAGTGGAGTCTCTACATCCAGGTAAAGACCTGGCACACCAACTACCCTTGTGTATACCCCCAGTCCACACAGCCCTCCCTCTGGCCTGGCCCCAGCCACACCCCACCAGATGCCACCTCTCCAGCTGTTGCAAGGCTGTCTTCATGGTCTTCACTTGCTGGAAATGGCAGGACATGTCTGTGGCCAACACCATCTCGATGACCAGGGCTCGGAGCTCTCTGAGTGGACATAAAAAGAGAAGCGATCGGCCCCCTCAGTGCTGCTGGGCAGGAGGTCCAGGAAGTGGAAAATGGGGTTTGTGGTAAGGGAGGCTCTTAGGGATGCCAAGTACTGGCTTCTGCTCACACAAACTCATCCTTGGTGAGGTTGATGAAAATGTTCAGCTCATCATCCTGCATCAGTCGGAAGACAGAGCTGATGTGGTGATTCTCCAGCACTGAACGATCATTGTACAGGATGGCACATTCTGACCTACAAAGCCACAGGTCATCATGACCACCCCCTGTGAAAAGGGACTCTGGCAACCTCCCCCACCTCCGCTTGGCCTCTCCTGCCCCTGCCACATCCCCACCCCTCACTTGGTCTGGATGTGGAAGCTGTTGGTAGTGCCCGTGTGCTCATAATCATGGATAGCTGCAGCAAAGACGATGGCCAGGACCTCAATCTCTGACAAGCAGTGCTACAGGAGGAAAGAGAAAGAATAAGAGAGGGCTGATGCCTGCTGGTCACTGCCCAAGAACCTCCACACACAGGCTAGACCACTCATCCCATCCCTTCCATGCTTCCAGGCCAGCTCTTGGTTAATGCAGCCAGGTTTCTCAGCTCCTGGAATGGCCAAGGACCTTCCTCCATCCGAACCTGCAACATTCCCATTGCATCCCAGCACATGTCCCTAGCACTGTCCAAGAAGTTTTAGTCTACCTGGGAATTCTCTAGAATGAGTTTAATCCAGTTCGACTCTGCAAAGGCTTTGGAGTGCCCAAGAAGAACCAAAGAGGAGAAATGGAAATGGGAGTACACTCTATACCTCCCAGTTCTGTAGCCATAGGCCCTGAATCACAGAAGAATCATCTCCAGGGCACTTACCACCATCCCTGTGCGGAGCAAGAAGCAATGGACTGTCTGGGTAACATCAGCTGCATGGATCTGGTTGTGGTAAGGATTCTTGTACTTCCCATAGCCTGTCTCCAAGGCATCCAGGAAACTCATCAAAAACACAGTGGGAATCTGCGGGGGGGGGTGGGAGAAATGGAGGTATATCAAGGATCTGCAGGAATGGTGGTGACTACAGACCAAGATCAACAACCTCAGCTTTCTGTAGAAGGCAGTGTGGCATAGGGAGAGAGCACAGGTAAACCTGGCTCATATCCTGCCTCTACCACCTGCTGGCTGTGCAACTTGGGAAAGTCACATGCCTCTCTGTGCCTCAGATACTTAATTGCAGAATGAAGATAATACCACCGACCTGGAAATTAATGAGATAAGTACAAGGCATTTAGTAAATGCTCTCTAAAGAATAGCCATAATTATTATTATTTCCCTGGAGATTTCAAAGAAAAGGAAAACTTCCCTCCTACCTTCCAACCACCCCACTCCATCCCCAAATCTAAAACCATGAAGAAGGGCTTGGAAGCAAGGGAATGAAGAAGATGACCTAGAGAGGACTCTTCCAGCCAGATGTGGGTTACCCTCTCCTTTGAGAAACTCTCTGACCACCTACCGTCTACATGCACCAGTACCCCCACCCTCAGTCCCACAAACACACACAAAAGCACCATGAGCCAGAGCTCTGTCCAGCTACTCTGAATTCGGTCCCTGTCTCTGTATACACCCTTAGGGTATATCTGCCTCCTTCAGAAGGCTCAAGGCTCCCAGAGGACAGGACTAGTGATCTGTCCCTGAATCTCTGGAGGCTAGGAAGGGACAAAGGTTCAGGACTCGGGAGGTTTCTGTAGAGATGAGCAACACAGTGACAGAGACACAGAAGAAGCACCACTAGTCAGTCAGACCCTAACATCCCCCACCCGCACCCCTGGAGGGCTGTGCCCCAAATTCAGGAAATTTTAAAGGACTGTTTCCATGACGACTGCCCTTGCTTTTGCGTTGCCATGGCGTCCCTGGAGGGAAGGGAAGAAAAAGGGAGGAGTAGGGGAGGGGCTAGGTGCCCAGGAAGAGAATGTGGAGTTTGAGAAGGGCAGCTGCTACTGGCCCTACCATCAAAGAAAACTAAAACAATAAGCACCGCCTCCTTCCTCTAACTGCCTTGGAGCAAAGCAGACTGGGACTGGGCAAACCCAACCCAAAACAGCTACTCTTGAGGTCCCCCAAACCCAGTACTTTCAGGTAAGGAGGCAGACTTTAGGAGAAGCTAGTGACTGAAGTCTGAGAGCCAGTTTGGAGAAACATGAGCTGGGAAAAGTCTTAGGAAAAAGACAGCCCTGCTATTCTCTGTCCTGGAGAGGGCAGGAGTGGAAAGAAGAGAGTAAAATTGCAGAACAGGCTTCCAGAAGGCACTTAAGAAAATTTCAACTGAGCATCTCAGGAAAGTTTTGGAAACTCCCTAGGGAGTTGTAAAAGGCGGAGTCAAGGGTGGAGGAAGGGCTCACATGCACAAATAATTTGTTCTAGTGAAGTGGAGGCAGAGGACGGATGGAATGACCTCCCAAAGATGGCCTGGGAGGGGACTCTCCACCTGGACTCCTTTGACCACCCCTCTATGGCCCTTCAGATCATCCATGTTTCCCTTCACCGTAAACACCTGCTGCTCCCCAAAGTGCTGACCCAATATCCCCATTATGGCTCCTCAACCTCCCTCACCCTCTACTTCCAAATGTGGTTTTTCCAGTGCAAGTGTTTTCTTTTTTCTCCTGGCACTTTTTCCCTCCCAAAAGATGCTCCCTCCTGGTACAGAATCTAGGAAGGACTTTACTCTCATATAATTCTTCCCATCCAGACAAGCTGAAGAGCAAATGAAGTTCACACACCGTCCCCCCGTCATACAACCCCACCCCAGCCTGTCAAGAGCTGACCTTCTCCATAAAATTCCTTGCACAGAGACCAGAACTGGGGGACAGGGGAGGGAGTGGTCAGTTTTATCCAGGAAACACATGGATTCCAGTCCCAAAGGGCACTGGCTGACAGCATCTGAACTCCAGGCCTCCAGTGTCCACACTGCAAGTCAGCCTAGAGAGGACAAGCTGGGGGGAGAAAGCAAAGCGAGAGGGAGCAGAATCCCAGGCTAGATGGTTGCAGACCTAGAATCTCCCCCTAGAAAGCAATTAATGAAGTCTGGAACTAAGACTGCGGCAAGTGACAGAAAAGGTAGACTGGGCGTGGGCGTGGGGAGACTTCCCTGCTGTTGAGACTGAGTGAGGGGATCTATGGAATCTGTCTGTTGGGAGGCTTTTAGAACAGGCATGAGGGGAGTGGAGAATCCTGCCTGCAGGTAGAGGTAGGATGCTGCCCAACCTTGAAGCGGCTGATGAGGTTATGCCGAGTCAGCAATTCAAAAACAATGGTCCTCAGGGCATGGTCATCTGCTGCCCGGTTCAAGGAAAAGACATCAAAGCACCAGAGATCCAGGTTCTGTGGAGAAACCATAGATTATGTTGCTTTCCAGCAGCAGCAAGGGTTGAAGTTAGACTTCAAGAAGGACTTCCCATGAGTACAAAGTCTTGATAAATAGGAAAGCAAAGAGATGGTGAAGTGTGCCTCTTTCTTCCCATATATCCCTCAGTATGGGAGAGACAGGAAGTCAGGAGTTTGCTCCTAGAGTGGGCAAAAGCTGTTTTGACGAATGTGAGAACAACAGTTAAAAGGGAAGGCAGGCCGGGCGCGGTGGCTCATGCCCGTAATCCCAGCACTTTGGGAGGCCAAGGTGGGCAGATCACTTGAGGTCAAGAGACCAGGCTGGCCAACATGGTGAAACCCCATCTCTACTAAAACTATAAAAATTAGCTGGGCGTGGTGGTGGGCACCTGTAATCCCAGCTACTCAGGAGGCTGAGGCAGGAGAATCGCTTGCAGGGAGGCGGAGGTTGCAGTGAGCCAAGATCACGCCACCGCACTCCAGCCTGGGTGACAAGAGTGAGACTCCATCTCAAACAAAAAAAAAGGCAGGCAAAAATCATGCCATAAACAGGGTCTAGAAGTCCCAATGGCTATTCCATCCCCCAACCTTCTCCTCTTTCCCAAAAACCCAGAGATCACCTTGAAACAGTTGAGGACCGCAGTAGAATAAGTGGGGCCCACAGAGGTGTATGTTCTCCGGAACATCCTAAGAGAGAACAATGAGAAGAAGCCCACATATGAAGGTCTGGGAGTGGAGGTCTGGCCAGCTGGGGATATGGAGATGAGCCATGGGATCATATGGCTGGTGGTCATGGAAGACCAGGGTGGCTGGGAAAGAGGGACACAGCTAAAGGCAGAGGGAGGCTGAGTGTGGGCGAGCCTCACCGTTCCACGAAGATCCCAGCCTGCACAGCGTGCACAATGCTTCGGAACTTGGGCTTCTCCTCTGCTCGGCGGCCTTTGGCCCGGGCCTGCTGGGTGAAGGTGGAGGCCAGCCAGTCCCGCACCTCCGAAGGCACGGCATCTGACCGCAGCTCCTGCAGCTCGTCCTCCGTGTCCAAGATTTGCCTGAGACCCCAGAAGGGGAGTCACAGAGGAAAGACAGCAGGTGCTTCCACAGCCCAGAGACCCTATACCCAGTCATACCCCACATTTAGTAACTCTCATGCCAGCTCTCTCTCTGTCTTCAACCCTGTTTCCTTTCTTTTTCTATATCTTTTTATTTCTCTAACATCTCCGATAATGGTCTCTGTGTGAGGCAGTGAGCATCCCAACTATGAAAGCATTTAAGCAGGAAATGGAATGCATCTTTCAGGGATGCTATAGAGCAGCACCATCCAATAGAAATAAAATGCAATGGAAATAAAATGCCGCATATATGAAATTTTAAATTGTCTAGTAGGCCACATTAAAAAGGGAAAGAGAAACAGATGAAATTTACTTTAATGATAAATTTTATTTATTTTATTTATTTATTTATTTATTTATTTATTTATTTATTTATTTTTGAGACATAGTCTCACTCTGTTGCCCAGGCCAGAGTGCAGTGGCACGATCTCGGCTCACTGCAACGTCCGCCTCCCAGGTTCACGTGATTCTCCTGCCTCAGCCTCCTGAGTAGCTGGGATTACAGGTGCCTACCACCACACCAAGCTGGTCTTGAACTCCTGACCTCAGTTGATCCACCCGCCTCGGCCTCCCAAAGTGCTGGGATTATAGGCGTGAGCCACCGTGCCCAGCAATAAATTTTATTTTACCTAGTACCTCCAAAATATCATTTCAACATGAAACCAATAGTGTGTGTGTGTGTGTGTGTGTGTGTGTGTGTGTGTGTATTTTTAGACAGGGTCTCACTTTATCGCCCAGGCTGGAGTGCAGTGGCGTGATCACAGCTCACTGCAATCTCAACCTTCCCAGATTCAGGTGATCCTCCCCCCTCGGTCTCCCAAGGAGCTGGGACTCAGGTGCACACCACCATGCCCAGCTAATTCTTTAATTTTTTGTAGAGACAGGGTTTCATCATGTTGCCCAGGCTGGTCTCGAACTCCTGGGCTCAAGCAATCAGCCTGCCTCAGCCTCCCAAAGTGCTGGGATTACAGGCATGAGCCACCACACCCAGCCTTATAAAATAAATTAATGAGACACCAGCTGGGTGTGGTGGCTCACGCCTGTAATCCCAGCACTTTGGGAGGCCAAAGCGGGCAGATCACCTGAGGTCGGGAGTTCGAGACCAGCCTGACCAACATGGAGAAACCCCACCTCTACTAAAAATAGAAAAATTAGCAGGGCATAGTGGCGCACGCCTGTAATCCCAGCTACTCTGGAGACTGAGGCAGGAGAATTGCTTGAACCCTGGAGGCGGAGGTTGCAGTGAGCCAAGATCGCGCCACTGCACTCCAGCCTGGGCAACAAGAGCAAACTCCATCTCAAAACAAAAACAAAAATAAAACAAAAAACAAATATATATATGAATAATATATCTTACATTCTTTTTTCTAAGTCTTTGAACTCCATCACATATTTTACATACACATCTCAGTTCCTACTTGCCACATTTCAGGTGCTGGATAGCCACCCAGGATGGTGGCTCCCATGCTGGGCAGCAACGTCTGGAGGCATTCCACACTAGAATAGATGAGCTTTAAGGCGCCTTCCAACTCTGAAACAGTCTTCTGTCCTTCTTGATATCTGTGCTTGTCTCTATCTCTGCATCTCTCTGTTTGCCTCTGCTTCTTTATCTCTACTACCACTATTTCTCCCTGGATACCTGGAGCTCTTTTTTTTTTTTTTTTTTTTGAGACAGGGTCTTGCTGTGTCACCCAGGCTGGAGTGCAGCAGTGCAATCTCAGCTCACGGCAACCTCTGCCTCCCAGGCTCAAGCCATCCTTCCACCTCAGCCTCCCAAGTAGCTAAAACTACAGGAGCATGCCGCCATGCCTGGCTAATTTTTTTTTTTTTTTTTTTTTTTAGAGACAGGGTCTCGCCATGTTGCCCAGGCTGGTCTCAAACTCCTGGGCTCAAAGAATCCACCCATCTTGGCCTCCAAAGTGCTAGGATTACAGGTGTGAGCCACTGTGCCCAGCCACTACCTAGAGCTCTTTATATCTGGTCCACCCTGTCTCTTTCTTCCTGTCTCTGTCCATGCCACACGTGTCTATCTTTGTCTTAACCCCTCTCTCTGGAACACTATGTCTGACATCTTTCTCCTTCTCTGTCTGTCGGTCTCTCTCACCGTGTCTCATCTATGTAGACGGCTTCCAGCAGAGAAGCTGTGTACTCCAGATTTTTCTTCAGCTCCTCGATGTTTACCTCCCCATTCTCCAACTGCTTCACCATGTAGCGCAGCCTGCAGGGAGCAGATACAGAGAGGCTGCTTAGGCACAGCTACCTTATCATGAGAACAGGATACCCCCTAATAAGGTACATTTTACAGAAACATCCTCAGTCTTTCGTAAACAGTTAATAATTTCAACATTAATAATAATAGCAGCTAATGTTCCTTTTTAAATCTCAGGCTATTGCCACTGCCTGTATTATCTACACCCAAAGTTTAATGCCAGGTTTTTCTGACTCCGTCATCCCCACTACCAGCTAACCTCTCAAAACCCGCTCTTTAGTCAGTGCTTAGTCTTGTTTAAAATGCCAGGGCCCAGCAGAATTAGGCAGGTACAAGCCCCTGGAGTTATGTTTTTAGGATGATCTGTTCCATAGCCTGAATAATCAAGAGTTGAAACTGCTTATTTCCCCCATGGGAGAGGGCTTTGGGGTCAATAGCAATCAAGATAGCCCCCAAGAGTATTTCATTGTCTCTTGGTCATGGTGTGGGGGGTGGGGGTTAAATGTCCACAGCCCCTCTGTGCCTGGCAGGGATGGCAAAAGCACAGAACAAAGACAAATCTGAATGCTTTCGCCTGGCCTCTCTCCATGCAGGCAAAGCTAATGGATTATGATTCCAGAATCCATCAACCAGGACAAAGCCAGGTTAACCCCTGCCTTTCCAGTCTTACACCAGAGAGAACCTCTGACAGAGTTACCATACCCACCCCCGGCCTCTGTCCCCACCGAAGCTTCCTCCAGGATAAAAGTGGTGGGGTGGGCCCAGGGATCTCACTCACTGGATGCTTTGCCTGAAGGAACAATCACCTCATGTTTTACACTTACAAATTCTGGGGTTTGATGATTAACTGGGAGACTTCTTAGAAGTCTGGTGAGTTCAGCCCAGGCAGTCACAAAGCAAACAAAGCTCTTCAGATGGTGATTTTAATGAAAGCAGTTAAACATTCCTTTCTCTCCTTTCCTTCACCCTGCCCCACCCACCTAAAACCAACCCGGGGCTGAAATGGTGGCCATCCTAATTCCCCACTGAGAGGGGCTTCAAAAACCCAAGGTCACCCTATGAGTCAGGGAGGAGAAGAGAATGAGTCAGGGACCAGAGGCTGAAATTAGCATCAATTCCCAGGGATGCCGGGGGAGGGAGAACAATGGCGTTCCTGAACAGAAGTAGCTCTAGAATCCCAGGGTCTCAGCAGCTTTGGAATCGGGGTGCCCAAAATAGCCAGCCCCAGGAAGCATCACAGGCCAGTTCTCACCTCAGGGCCTAGCAGTCCTGGACAACACATCTGAGAGCAAATGGGACAGAAGGGAAAGTGGCAAAGAAGTTGGAGGGCTATCCTCAAATCTCACTTCCAGCCTTCCTGCTGCACCATCTCCAAGTGGAAACAGCAGGTTGTTTAACAAGAAAGAGGATGATTTTAGTAAAGCTCAGCCCCAGCTCCAGCTTCATTAGGGAGGAGGAACAGAGGCGAGATATCATAAAAGGCTTTCCCAGCTAAATGAGCTGGAAAGGGGCTATGAGCCAGTATCTCCCAGAGTACCCAGCCCAGAGATCACAGAACAAAGAGGTATGCTTTGCCTTTGGTGCCCAGGCACAAGCTGGGGCTTCCCTCTGCCAATCAGTCCCCATTGCCAGGGGCCCTCAAATCTGGGGACATAAAACCCAAAAAGGAAGGAAGGTCTCTTCTTCTCCCTATAGTTCTCTCTCTCCCCCAGATTCCCACCCCAGCCTTCTGCTTCATTTGGCCCTTTTTACAAAAACTTTCCCCAGGGGTCAATGCCCATCACCAAAGTTCTTCCAGTTCCCTTCTCGACCCACCTTTTGAAACCCACATCCCAGCACTGGCTCCCAAAGTGAGCAGCCACGCCCACGGTACTCATTTGCATGTATTTGCATAATCGCTAACAATGCTGCCAGCTCTACATTTTTAAAAGTGCTTTCTCCTACATTACCTCATTTTATCCTCACAATGGGCCTATGAAGGAGGGAGGCGGGGAAGGAATTGCCATTCCCATTTACAATGAGAAACCAAGGCTTAGGAGGCAGCTTTGGTGAGATGTATCCAGCAGCAGCACGAGTCTGGGAGGCAGAAATCCTGGATTCAAAGCTAGTACTTCCTGCTGTGAGCCTTTGAGCAGGTCACTAACTCTTAATCAGTACTTATTAAAATGTGGTCTGTAGACCACCAGCATCAGAATCACCTTGCATCCATGTAAAAAATATAGATTCTAAGTCTAATTCCACAGCATTTCTGAGGGTACAGTCCAGGGATCTGCTTTTTTTTTTTTTTTTTTTTTTTACTTTGAGACAAGATCTCACTTTGTCAACCAGGCTAGAGTACAATGGCACAATTGCAGCTCATTGCAGCCTCCACCTGCTGGGCTTAATCGATCCTCCTGCCTCAGCCTCCTGAGTACCTAGGACTACAGGCATGTACTACCATGCCCAGCTAATGTTTTTTAATTTTTTGTAGAGATGAGGTCCTGCTATGTTGCCCAGGTTGTTCTCAAACTTCTGGCCTCAAGTGATCCTCCCACCTCATCCTCCCAAAGTGCTGAGATTACAGACACGAGCCACTGCACCCAGCCTGCTTTTTTTTTTTTTTTTTAAGAGACACTGTCTCGCTCTGTCACCCAGATCATAACTCTGGACTTCCTGCAGAAGAACAGTGAGGTGAGGACTTTGAGTGGGTCTGGGGAGGTCTAAACTCCAAAACACTTTACAATAAGAGAAGGTCCTGCCAGGCCAGCAAGTACAGGTGTTGGGGGTGTTATTTGACTTCAGGAGGGTACAGTTCAGCACCTGGATCCTATCAGCCACTTTAGTCCAGATCCTCTTCTTAGACTTCTCACTTGCCATATGTATTATTTAATCTTCCTTTCCCTCCCTCCCCACCTCCTTCTGATGTCTGGATCATGTTTGGTTCAACAGATTTCAACAGAAGCTATGCAAGAGCTCCTGGACAAGATCTAGAGTGGTATGATCATAGCTCACTGTAACCTCAAGCTCCTGGGCTTAAGCAATCCTCAGCTTGAGGCCTCCCAAAGTGTTAGGATTACAGGTATGAACCATAGTTCCCAGCCCAATCTGCATTTTTAAAAAACACCCCAGATTATTCTAACATACACCAAACTTTGAGAATGTTTATCTTAGAGCCTCAACTTGTTCATCTATAAAATGGTAAGGATGATAATAAACATTTCACAGGGCTATTAATAAGAGGACTGAGTGATATAATACATTAAAAGGCTTGGCACATACAAAAAGTTTCCATAAATGTAATTTGAATAGGAATTGACTGATCAGCATCAAATCATGGTGGTCATACCCAGCTCACACCACACTCCCTTCAAATCCAACAAGTACCTTCTCTCTCCCAAGTCCAGATGGAGAAGACTGAGTTGGTCTGGATTGAGGCTGGTAATTAGGAAGCCCCCTAACAGAGGAAATGGGAGAAAGATAGTAGCCATGATCTTTCCTTTACAATTACAAACTTCATTTGATCTTCACAAGCTCCTTATAAGGGAGGTTAAGTGACTTGTCTAAGGTCACACAACTCATCCATCTCAGTCAGGTTATCAAGGTCTACAAGACCTACATTGGAACCTAACCGTGTCCCCAAACAATGAAACTGTTAAGGCAGAACAAGCCTAATCATGCAATTAGCTTAGAGAAAGGCTGGAACCCATTCCACCATAGCTTCTACAGTCTCAGTCCGTCCAACCTTAATTAATTCTGTCAGTTGGCCCATAGGAGACTGAGTGTCTTGATGACGCTGACAGTGACTTGTTTATCTTGGCCTCCATCCTTAGAGTACACAGAACGTGCTCAGTAAAAGTTCATTAAATAAATAAAATGGAAAGGGGAAAATTAATCAGGTGTGAGGCTATCTCCCAGAGCTCACAATGGAGATTTCTGAGCCAGGGTTTCTAAAAATAACGGTGAGCCTGAGAAGAGTAAGGTTGTAGGCTGATTTCAAGCACACACTTCCCTCGGAGTTTCTCCTTCCCTCACTTACAGATCTTGTCCAGGAGCTCTTGGATAGCTTCTGTTGAAATCTGAACCAAACATGATCCAGACACCAGAAGGAGGTGGGGAGGGAGGGAAAAAAAGATCAAAGAATAAATTTGACAAATGAGAAGTCTAAGAAGAGGACCTGGACTCAAGTGGCTGAAAGGATCCAGCTGCTGAACTGCACCCTCTTGAAGTCAAATAACCCCTCCCCCCACACACACACCCCATACTTTCTGGCCTGCCAGGGTCCTCTCTTAATCTAAAGTCCTTTAGAGTTAGGATCTCCCCAGACCACTCAAAGTCCTCACCTCACTCTTCTTCTGCAGGAAGTCCTTCTATCCCACCAACATCAGTTTTAATCCAAGCCCTCTGTTTCAGCCATCATGGAATCTGGCACAGGAAAGGTGTCTTTCCCTGTAGAACAGGATGCTCAACCCTGTCCAGTCCTCATCTGGCCCCAAGGAAAACTGGCAGCTTCCCCCAACTTTCCTTCGACCTCCATCCCTGCCCGTTTCACTACCACCACTTCTTTCTGCTTTACCTTCAGTCCCTGCATGATTGGAAAAGCCTCAGATCGTGACTCCTGGAAGTCCACAGTCTCTCCTAGCTCCAGGCAGCCATTGGGAGGAAAAGACTCTGGTAGTTATAACCCCAACACCTCAGGAGAGCTCAGCTTCTCCAGCTTCTACAGTTCATTTATTTGTATCACCATAGCTGGTGTTCTGGGGATTTCCAAAGTCCCCTGCCTCTTCTTCCAGCACCCACATTCCCAAAAAGATCACCATAAGTAGGGGGCTTAGGACAGGGAAGCCAGAGAAGGACTTCCTGCAGAAGAACAGTGAGGTGAGGACTTTGAGTGGGTCTGGGGAGATCCTAACTCTGAAGGACTTTAGAATAAGATAGGGGATGGTAGTCAGGAGAAGAATTGTATTTCCAGTTTGGGTTCTTAAGACAAGATTAAATTTCAAAGGGATGTGAGGTCCTAAGGATGTTGGGAGTCAGGAAGGAGAGAAAAGGAAGAAACACTGATAAGTTACTTGCCACAGTCAAGAAGAAGCAATTTTAAAAAGGGAGGGGGGAATGGAAATGGGAGGAGAATAAGGTAAAGGGCAAGATGGACAGAGTAAAAGGTGAAGTTGGCACGCACACACACACACAAAACATATGGGGGACTGTCAGGTCTTGATCTCTCCACTTCACTAAACTACAACTGGTGGATCCATGAGCAACCTGTCCTCTTCCTCCTCCCCCTTCCTCTCCTCATCCCTGACACCTACCTGAGGATGGGGCCCTGAAGGTGGCTCCTCTGAACAGGAACAGGGTTTGCCATGGGAATCAAAGTTTCCTGCTTCACAGCATCAAAATCTTGACCCCGGGAGCCCCAGGGCCCCTAAGCGGGGATAACTTCCTCTTTGGCCCCTGCCTTCCTCCTCCAGATCCCAGTAGAACTAAGCGACTGACCAGAGAGAACTTTGGGGAGGGGCCTGGCTGCAGGAAGAAGAGAGTGGGGAGGCAGAGACCCAGCCTACCGGAACTGGGTGAGAGGGGAGGCTGCGGGAAAAGTTTCACATCTGAATCAGATGGGAAACAAGAATCTGTTCTCAGAAGAAGCCCAGAAAGGACAGAAATAGCACAGGCCAGCCTCTTGGTCTGAGGAGGTGGGGCTCCTCTTTGGGAAAAAGGGGGTTAGCAAGAGGTTTAAGGGTGCAGGAACAGGGAACCATCCTGAATCTGTCACAGAGAGGAAGTCTGTAGTGTGAGGGGGAGGGGTCCTGTAAGAACCCCCAAAAGGAGCTTAGCAGACTCAGCTCCCTCTCAGGGTCTTTTTCTGGGGCCATTCTTCAAAATGAGCTTTAACCCACCTCACAGAATGGAAGTAAGACAGGGGGATGAACTTCCCACAGAGGATAAGAAACTGTAGGGAGGGGCTTCCTGAAGCTGTGTGTCAGGGGATCCTTATCCAGAGGCCGGCTCAACAGGGAGGGAAGGGCCCTCCACCCACAAGCAGAGAATGAAAGTCAAGAGAACTCGCTCATAGAAACCAAGGGGTTGGGCAAATTAACACCCCCAGCCCCAGTTTTCTCATTTGTAAAATGGAAACTGGGGAATACCCATGAATTAACCAGAGAGAGGTCAATCCTGCTCAGAGGTAAGGAGAAGCGACGAGATGGCCCAGGAGGGGCCAAAAGAGGCACCCAGAAGGGGTCTGAGGACCAGGACCCCCTCTCCTGCCTTCAGACTTTGCTTTCGTCAAGGTTGGGGAGGGAAGAACCCAGTCGCTGCAGCTCCAAGTGGACGTGCGCACACAGTCCCAGCCCGCCTCCTGATTGGCTAGGAGATGACATCACCAATACATGTACACTGGGGCCGTGATTGGTCAGCTGAGGAGTTGGGCGGGGCTAAGGGGGAGAGCCGGCGGGTGAAGCCCAACGCGTTGGGGAAAAGAGTTCGGGGATCTGCAGTCTCTTAGATCTAGGTCTCTGGCTGGGGGTGATGTGGTAGAGAGGAAAAGGAACTAATGGAGTTGAGTATGTCAGCAGAAAGGGAAAAGAGAAGACACAGGCCAACAGCTAGGATTTTATGACAGGAAGTTTTCCCTTTACCCCTACCCATCTAAAGCAGGAAGAAATTAAAATACTTTGTCATTATGCCAAAGCCTTGAAGAATTAGAAATAAATGAAGTTGGGGAACCCGCTGTTTCTCAGCTCCACCGAGTACTGGGACAAGTGGAAGTGGGCTTCGATCTCAACAAGAGGAGTGGAAGTCAAATATCTTAAGGCTGTTCTCTAGTGAACACCTGGTCGCCGTGAAGCAGGGCTGCTGCAGATCTTGGGAGAAAGAAACTCACTCTCTCTGTATCCCTCTCTTTCTCTCTGTGTCCCACCGCCACCCTCCCCACAATGGCCACAAGCTGATGAGTGTTTTTAGAGAGAAAGGACTAGACCCAGTGTCAGAGCCCCTGAATGCCACCCGGGAGATGAGGACAGGTCATTTGGCATGTTCTGTGGACATGCTTGCGTTGCAGGATGGGACTGGGAGTGGGGGCAGATGGCAGTGCACAGCCTAGAACACTAACAACCTCCAACCCAGGCCAGCTTCCCTGCCTCATCTTGTACCCTCACTCCAGACCCTGCCACTCTAGCCAAGTAAGTGCTAAACTCAACTCTCCTAATGAAAAGTAAAGATTTCTTAGACCAGAAAAGCCTCAAAGAGCATATCTTGTCCATTCCTCTGCTGTCTTACCCACTAGAACCAAAGCTGGTTGGACGAATGGCTGCTCAACACTTCAGCCCACGAATGCATGCTGCATACTTTGTCCTAACCTGTTATTATTATTTATTGTTCCTAATAAGGAGGGATAGTGATCAACCACCAAAAATTTCACACATAAACACTTACCCACACATATACACATACCCCACACTCTACCTCTAAGGAGACTGTCACCTGGCTGGCAGGCAGGACATAAATGTGATGACCTCAACAAAGGGTCCAGTATGGATTTTCCTTTAGCCCTTAAATGTAGTTTAAAAATAGAAAGGAACCCAACTCTAATGCCTGCCCAGCCTGCAGTGAAGAATAAGGTTGAGGTAGGAAACAAAGGATGGGAGACTCTGTCTCTGGTAAGAAAAAAGGGGTGGGGGTGGGTGGGGATAATGGGGTGGTGCTTGGGAAGGGATTCACTGGCTGACTTCAAAGCTCCAAAATCTCAGAAACTGAAAGAACCAAGGAAATCATCTAATTCCAATAGAAAGAGGGCATGAGTTTAAAATCAGGAGACTTGTCTGGCTAGCTCAGTTGAAAAGAAAAAACTAAATTTAAAAAGAAATCACAAACTTTTGCCTAGATTTTATTACTATGTGTGACCTTGGGAAAGTCATACTGAGCTTCAGTTTCCTGGTCTGTAAAATGAGTAAATAATACATGCTTCACAGAATTTTCACAAGGACCTAATGAGATATGGTATGAGAACACCTTGGGAACCCTAAATGAAGGTTTAGGATATGAATGAATGTGAAGGATATGAATGTGAAGGATAATTATTTAGTCCAAATCTTTAGTTAGTTCAGCAAATATTCATTGAGTCATTCATAAATAAAGTTCCATATGCCCACTCTTACAGCCAGGACCCCTGACTTTCCATCCAGGCTTCAAATGGCACCTGGATGTTTGTGGGAAAGCTCTAGTCTCCCTGATGCCACCACTCCGGAGGTTTAGGGCTTCTCTCTGGCTTCTTATTCCAGAGGCCCCAGTGAGGCAGTGGAGGCAGAGGCTGCAGAGCATGTAGAGCACGAAGCTCCAGAAACCAAGAACAACTAGCTCTCCACCTCACCCGAGCATTCCCACTCCCCCACTCCCCTGGCTTCTGGCTTCCATTGCTATACAGACAGCCCCAGTTCTGGCAGCTGGCTGGGCATTGTGGCGGGGGTGGCTCCACAGATAAAAATAGCCCCCCTGGTGGCAAAGCTGGGTTGCCATCCTGGGAGGCACTGTTGACATGGCAGCAGTGGTGAGAGAGCCCTCAGCACTGGACAGAGGAGCTACGGGTGGGGGTGGGATGAGGGAAGGGAATGGGGCAGGGCCTGGGGAAGATTGGAAGACAGTGGGGGAAGGACAGAAACCAGGAGGGTGGAGAAAGGAAAAGAGGTAGGAGGTATTAAGGGGGCAGGGAGGAAAGGAAAGGAGATTTGAAAGGTGCTGCATTAGAGAGGCTGGAAACACACTGAAGAAGTGGGAGAGACTGCTTTCAGACTCCTCCTGTGCCTGTGCCTTCTGACCAGAAGCCGTTTCTAACAGGTGTTCCTAACAACAGCCCAGCACAACTCAGATCACATGAGGAAGGGAATAATCTAAGCAGCTTGAGCCTCAGCCCAGACCAATAAGAACCCAGGTGTCCCAGCTGCCAGCCAAGAACACAAATGAGTCACCTTTCCGTCAGACTTCAGCCCTTGAGAGAGGGAGGAATTGGGAGGGGTGAGTGAGAAGGTCAGAGGAAGGCAAACTGAAGAGGAGGCTCCCAGTACCCAGTCCAGAACTCTTTCTCTGGTTCATTTGTCCACCCCTCTTTTCCCTCCCTACACCATTTGATTTTGCTCATTAACCACCTCCACATGGACCACCCCACCAGCCCTCCAAACCACATCTCAACAGCTGTTCCCAGCAGATGCCCTGCTTCCATGGGGCCTAACAGATGTTGAAGGTAGTCTGGGATGGGAAAGTAAATTAAAAACTTGGCAAGAGTCTGACTGCAAGTGTGATGAGGGCAGCATCAGATTATGGATCAGCAGGATTTGAGTCTGGTCCCAGCACTGCCCCGATTTTACTAACTATCTCTGGGGATTGTTCCTTCTCTGTAGCCTTTATGGTTCTCAGATTCAGGGACTGGGTTGGAGACACTGGGGAAGTAGGATGCTTGGGCCTTAATTTCCCAGTTCCTGAGTTCATCCTTTCTGACTGGCTCACTGCTTCCCCAAATCAGCTCTAGCCCAGTGCTTAAAGGAGAAGGGTAGCTTTTTTCTTTATCAGAGAAAGGCCACATTCTAACCTTCATGAACTTTCCAGGAAGTTCTCCGGCATATCTGTCTTCAGTTTATTTCACTGCAATTAAAAACAACAGCAAATTTTCTTGGCATTTCAAAGAAGAGCAGAAGGGGAGAGAACAGGAGGGACCAAGAAGTCTTTGAGGTATCTAGTGCAATTTGGTTTATTATGTATCTTGCAGATTGGAATTTCTAAAGCAGTTGCTTGGTAGAGAGATGCTCACGGTTTAGGAAGTTTGGCAATACTGTTGGCATGTGTGTTCACTCAGTTCAGGCTGCAAGAAGTTTCCAAACAAGGTGGGCACAGAGGAGAGAACAAGGGACACAGTGCCAAGCAGATATGCAAGAGCTGATCAACAGGGGAGCAGGGAAGCCAAGGAATAGGAATGAAAGGAAAAACTTCCCTAGCCCCCAGGTCCTGCCTGCCAGAGAATCACTCAGCCTCTCCCTATGACCAGCACCCAGCCCCCAGCCCTCAACCCCCAGCCAGCCAAGCTCCCTTCCCAACCTAAATGGTGCCAACACCAGCTGGCAGCTTAGGCTGCCACTGCAGCCACCATAATTATTTGCAAATCTGACTTCTCACTGCAGTTGTGGAATCAACTGACCTGGAAGTCTGGCTCTATCCAACAGCACCACCTGAAGCACCCCCTTTCTAGCTCTTCTCCATGCCCTATGCCCCCAGGCCTTACCCCAAAAACAACCTGACGCTTCTCCCACAAAGCCTTCCTCTCTACCAAAACCGCAACACAGCTCCCTCAGTGCACTTTTGCCAGGTCTGAGTGCTGAAGTGGAATCTGAACCTGGTGTTTTCTTCTCAGACAGCAATAAGCTCCATACAGGCAACCCCAGCTGAGGGGAGAGGAGCAGTTGCAGGACTGGGGGATGCTGGGGCAGAGGGGCAAGAGCAGGGGCACTAGGGACCTCCCTGCATTGAATGGATAACAAGTTGATTTTATCCTTTTCCCTTCTCAGTCACCCTTTTTTTCCCTGCTCAATTCCCATCTATGCCCCTTCCCAAAAGAAGGGAGGAATGGTCCCACAGTTCTCTTAGACCATGTAGTCTTGCTCCCTTAGGGGACAGTTTTATTATCTAACAACTTCCAGTCTCCCCAGTTGTCTCACCTCCACCCCACCTGCTGCCCTGGTTTTGTCCCTCTTTCTCTGCTGCTATCCTGAAGAGAGTTGGAAAATAGCTACTCAACTTCCATACCTGAGAAAAATCAGCCCCTTGAGATTCAAAGGCAATTACTTGGCTTCCTCCCCAGAGGGACTAGGAGGATGAGGTCACTGAGAAGGCAAAAGACACACCTTGCAGAAGACAGGAATCGGGACTGGACTCATAAGGCCCCAGAGGGCACCTATAGCAAGCTTATCCTGTACCATTACCACAGCAACCCCTCAGTGAGATGAGGGAGCCACAGGGATTTTCTGACCCCTAGCCAAGATGAGGGAGAAGTACTGATGGCAAGAGTGAAAAGGTAAGTCAAAGGGAATGGGACAGAGAGAGGAAGTGGGACAAGGAAGAAGAGCAAAAGGGAGCCTCAC